ACTACTGATTCTTCTTCCCTGTTCCCAACTTTTGCGTTCCAGTCGCCCATTTTTATCAATGCATTTTGATTGCATGTTCGATCTATCTCTGCTTGTAAGAGTTGGTAGAAATCATCTATTTCTTCTTCTTTGGCTCTGGTTGTTGGTGCATATATCTGGATGATAGTGGTGTTCACTGGACTTCCTTGTAAGCGTATGGATATAATCCTATCACTCACAATGTTGTACTTCAAGATGCACCTAGAAATTTCTTTTTTGACTATGAAAGCAACTCGATTTTTCCTCACCTTTTCATCTCCAGAATAATATATCATATGATCATCTGACTCGAAATGCCCCATGATATTAATTAATTACATGTCTGACCAACCTCTTGTTGTGTATTACTTTTCTTCCCACCTAATTTGTCTGTTTACTAATTTTCACTTCTCTCTCTCTCCCTCCCTCCATCCTCATCTTTGGTAACCACCTAAGAATGATTCTATGTATATAAACCTTTCCTTGATGTTTTATAATAATTATCTTTTAACATAATATTCCTTTTATGACTTATTTTGCTTAGCATAATATCCTCTTGGTGCATCCATGTTAAATATATTTCATGAAGTCTTTATCATCTTTTATGTTGCTTTGTAATCTGTTGCCTAAATATTCTATAGTTTCTTTATCTATTCGTCTGTTGGTGGACACTTGGGTTGCATCTCTTTGCTATTGTAAATAATGCTGCAGTGAACGCTGGTATGCACATATCCATGTGGAAGCTCTTCTTTCTTTGGGCTATATACCTAGTTAGTAGTGGAATTGCTGGATCAAATGGTATTTGTATTGTCAGCTTGTATGTTTTTCCATAGTGGTTGCACCATCTTACCTTCCCAGTAGTAATGCATCGGTTGAATGCTCTTGCATAATCAGTAAAACATATATAAACATTTCTCTGGGATTCTCTGCTTTAAACCAAGATCCATCATTTTTGATCCTTTACTGTCTTCTGAAATAGTTGTTGACTAATTCTTTTTGTACAGTAATAATATAGTCCTTTCATAGTCCTCTCTTAAATTTTTATTCGGACGTGAGTGATGCGTCTCCTGCCATTCACATTTTGCCCATAGAATCCTTCAAAGAAATATGTTACTATTTATTGTTAAAGAAAACTCTGGTGGCCTAGTGGTAGGAAACTGCCCTGCAATGCAGTTTGAATCCACCAGCTGCCCCATGGGAGAAGAATGGACCATCTCCTCCCACGTGACTTACTATCTCTGAAAACACATATTTTAAAAATTTACCTATAACAACTTATGTGATCATAAATTTTGTTCTTGAGCATTCTCAAATTAATTTAGAACATAAACATGTTACAGCATAAGATGGTTAAGTGTTGGTTTTTTTAGGTTTTTTCCTGGTAATATGAAAAGAAGGCATTCGGGGGACACAGGTTAGAGAAGGCTCTCACTGTGCTTTGAAGTGTCATTTGGACTTAGCCAGGTAGAGAAGGACTCTGACGACTGAGTGATGATGTATACCACAGACTTGCATAATTCTGTAAACACCATTCAATTTCTCGAAGAGACACCATTCGCAGATACCATACTGTGAGTAATACAGGGAAAAGGCATGGAGACATGAAATTGTGATGTGTGAGAAATAAAAGCATTTTGGTACTATTAGACACTAATGTGCACACAAGACATTGAAAAGTAAAGGAGGAAGCAGAAAATGGAGGTTTTTCTTGTGCAAGCCTTATCCAAAGAGGCGAGGGGCCTGCCACACTCAGATGTATTATTTATTAAACATCTATTAATGTTTATGGTCGTGCTTACTCTGGATTTCAGGTCAGTGGCATACACAAAGTTAGAGTGAAGAATAGAAACTAGGTCAGGATGAGCTCGAGTTGAGAGGAGGGAGTTGAAGGATCAGAGGTTGAGTTATAGAGAGGATACTGCTTTATTTATTTTTAATGAAAGTGGGAACATTGCTAGGCAGAGAATCAGGAGAGAAGGTTTTTAACTTCTCTGTAATAATTAAAATGAAAGGAAACCTTCATGCATATTTTAGAATATAAGAAAAAGGATCAAGAATAAATTTCAGTTATTAAAAAAATACTGGTTTTTTTTTCTTTCTTTTTCTTTAACAGATCGTTTCAAATATCATATCGTTAAGCAAATCTTCTCTGGAGGAGACCAAACTTTTGTGCTTTGCTCCAAATACGAGGTAACATTTTCTTTTGACTATTATTTAAGTATATAAATTTTGACCATTATTCTAGTATATTTTAATTAATTTTAACAAAGAAATATATTAGAATAATGATACTCTTTATTTCTACAAGTTCTTTTTCTTATAATTTAAATTAACCTTGAAGAAGTCTACTCAGTTTTTCTCCATTGAAGTGCTAATAATTTCCCTGTTATTTTAATCATAGAGTTCTAACTTATCATTGAAACGTTTTGGTCTAAAATACATAGGCCTAGAATATGTTTACTTTGATATTTGAATTACCCATATTTATTTTTTTTTAATAGCAGCAAATGCTAGGTACTTTAAAAACTTAAGTTTACTAGATGTAATAGAGCTTATAATACATGCACAGCAGCTATCACAATTTTAAGATATCCTTTATTATTTGTGATCTACTCATAAGCATACACTGTATTTTCTCCCTCATATCCTCTCTTGCAGTACTGTACAGTGAGTGGATGGACCAGGAAGAAAAAAGTCAAAATGTCTTTTAGGGATAAGATAAACTGAAATTCAAGTGTAGGTATCTGTGACAGGGCTTTAATTCATTGCATTAAAAGAGGAGAAGGTAAACTAAAATGCAAAAGCACGCAGTTTGAATCCATCAGCTGCTCTGCTCAAGAAAGTGGACAATCTCCTCCCATGAGACTTATTGCCACTGAAAACCCACTTGGAGGATCTCTGTGAGCCACTTCTGACTTGACAGTACATAATGACAACTGCAGTTACAAGAAATACATGTAAAATAAGCATCACAGATTTTTTATCAGCCCTCTTCAAACTTGCCTTGCTTCTTACTCATATTTTCCCCACATTAGCCCTTCTGTTTATTCAACAACTGTTGTTGTGTGCTGTAGAGTCGGAACTGACCTATAACAGACCCAGTGGGTTTTTAGACTGTAAACCACACAGGAGGTGATTGCCATCTGTCTCCCTTGGAGCAGCTGGTAGATTTGAACTGTCTCCCTTTGGGTTAGCTGTACAACTCCTTACCCACTAGACCACCAGACAGCTCCTGCACAAGCTTTAGGGAGGTTCACTATAGATGATGCATTTACCTGTTGTCTTTTGGTGAGCTTATGAATGGTACCATTGGTGGTATTAAAGGAACCAGAATGGGCTGGGAATGAAATGAGGAATTGTGGGAGCTGATTTTAGTCCTCATAGATCTCACTATGAACCTGATACTTTATCATCTTTAAATGCACTGAATTCTTGCTATCTAGTCAATGTTATTCTATAGTTTTGGTAGAAGAGGTTCTGGTGTGGCTCAAGGCTGCCAGGTGGACAGCTAAAACTGATGACTGGCTGTTTTCCAGGTCAGGAGCCTGGTAAGGCTGTGTAATGCTGCCATCTGGAGTGGTTTGGAACTGTTGCTTTAGACCTATTTTAGGCTCAGCTTTAGAGCATCACAGAGAAATCCTGAGGCAAAGCTGAGATTGTTTTCTGTTTCTATAAGATGCCAATAGAATAGGAAAAGTACTAAAGTGCTGAAGTATAAGAAATAACATGGGTTCCCCCCTCGATAAGTGGTTGAGTTTTAAGTATTCATTTTCATAAGAAACTGACTTGAATGATATTATCCAGCTTTAAAGTTTTCATAAAATTCAAATAGATAGTACATAAAACTTTATCTCAGTCTTTAAGTAAAGATCATATCTCATGTATGATATTGGTTTTATTGTAATTAACACTGTTGGGAGTTGGAAGCAGCACACTGGTGTAAAGGACCTAGCGCAGTGCAGTGTTAGAGACACTGGGAAGGTTAACATCAGAACTACTATGAAGAATGATCTGCATTAAAATATAAGTGAACACAGAAAAGGAACTAGAAATCAAATACTGCTTAGGATGTTGTTCTTTCCTTCTTAAGATGAAAATGAAACAAACATTGTTTAAACTGTTAACCATTAATATGTTTGTTTAGATATGGAGACAGATCAGATTATATGCATTTACCCTGTTATTTCTTAAAAAACAATACAACAGCAGAAGCACCTGTCTAGACAGACTAAAAACCCGTTGTTACTGATTCTGACTCAGAGCAACTCCATAGGACAAAATAGAACTATCCTTAGGGTTTCCAAAGCTGCATCATTTTGGAAGAAGATTGCCATATCTTTTTTTTT